TGTTTTATTGTATAGACCCAACTGGCTTGGAATTCACTATGTAACTCAGGCTGGTCTTGAATCGTGAGCGATCCTTCTGTGTTGCAAGTTTTGAATTTTACAGGCATATGACAACACAACTTCATTCTTTTTTTGACAATTTCAAAAATACAGAAACTTACTTGGCTATTAGCTATTCTTATGTACTACCTATTACAAATCAGAGGTTGACAACTTAAAAGTCTGCTGGCCAAATCTGGACTGTTTCATGCAGGTGAATGCTTAACAGTTAATAACCAAGTTTTATTTATTTATTTATTTTTAATTTTAAGCTTATTTTTAGTGTAGCACTGGCTGGTCTGGAACTCACAACATATAGACCAGACTGGCCTCAAACTCCATAGAGATCCTCCTGCCTTGAGGTCCTGGAACTAAGGGTGTGTGCTATCATACCTAGCCAGTTTGAAAACTAGTAATTGTAAGATAAAGCGAAGAAATATGCTTTATGACTAGTAAAAAACAAGAAATAAAAGGTAAGAAAAGGCCTGGGTGGTGGTGGCATATGCCTTTAAGTTTGAGTTTGAGGCTAGCTTGGTCTACAGAACAAGTTCCGGGGCAGTGAGGGCCATTACACAGAGAAACCCCCTCAAAAATGAAAAGCTACTGGGAAAACCGGTAGTGGGAAATTTGAATCAGCGGCATCAGAGTGCGCTAATGCTGCTTTAGTTTCTTGTTCTGCTTTAACAAAGAAAAAAAATCCCTGGTTGAGATATAAAGGTATTGGGCTGGAGAGATAGCGCGGTGATTAAGAGCACTGACTATTTGCTCATAGGATCCAGGTTCAGTTCCCAGCACCCACGTGGCAGCTCATAGCTGTCTGTAATTCCAGTTTCAGGAGACCTTACACTCTCACCCAGACATACATGCAGGTTAAACCCCGAAGCACATAAAGTAAAAAGCTGGGTGATGGTGATTTGTACCGTTAACCCCAGCACTCAGGAGACAGGGGCAGGTGGATCTCTGAGTTGGAGGCTGGTGTACAGAGAGCCAGGACATCCAGGGCTGTTACACAGAGAAACCCTGACTCAGGGAAAAAAAAAAAAATTCTTCTGGGCCACAGGATTCTTTTCCCAGCACCCTCAGGGTGGCTCGCAAGCATCCATGGTGACCTCCGTGGGCACCCGGTACTCAGGCAGTGCACGTACATAAGACCATACACATAGAATGAATCTTTTAAAAAAAATCGTTATCCAGGGCAGAAGCGAGCTACTGCATGGTAGGGAATTACCTTTAAAATCCTATTCAAAAACACGTCCATTTGCAGGCGTCTCCACAGCAAGCCTATCAATAATACAATTTTCCAGAAGAAAACCAGCCTTTTCCTCAAATACTTAGTAAACCCGAGGTCCCTGCTCCTCCCTTAGTCCTGCATCCCACAACAAAGCTTAGTGAGTGTCCAGCCCCTTTTCTGCTGGCCGAGCGGCGCCTGCGCACTGGCGCGTGCGGCTGTCCCTCCCAGCAGCCCCCGCGCGACCTTTTAGTCCCTCCGGGGTCTGAGGACAAAGTCTGGTGTTGGCGCCGTCTCAGCTGGTGTCACCTCCCTCAGCGGCGGGTGGCGGGGCAGCTGAGTGGCGCTAGGCGTCTGTGTCCTGGTCCCCTGGACGTAGGCAAGGCTCTGCGGGGTGCGGGGGTACAGGGAGGGACTGGGGTCCGCGTCTCGGTCGCTGCTACCCGGGGGGGCGGGGGACAACCGAGGCGAACTGTGCCTGCTGGGCGTGGCGGGGTGGCACCGCGGCTGATCGCGGCCAGGAGACCGCACGGCGTTTGTGTGAGCGAATGGGATGCAGGGCGGGTTGCCGAGGCCGTGGAGGGCGGGGTTCTGGCCCCAGGGTCAGCCGCGGTGCAGCCTCCTCCGTCCCAAAGGCGAATGGTCCCCATCCTTTCACCCGAGCGCCACACACAAGACTCCCAGCAAACAAAGCAAAGAGCTCCGGATCTTGGGGAAAGAATGGGAGATCTGGGGCTGGCTCCCTGGGGCTACCCGCCACAATCCAGAGATGCCCGGACACAGTCACACGCTGGGCAGGCTGTGTGCGGTCCCAGTAGGGAGCTCTTGTAAACTCGCCTTTCCAGCCCTGGCCGTTGGCCACCCTGGCTTTTCTTAGATACAGGATAGGACAATGGTACTCTGTCCCGTGTGTGAGAGTGACAGACGGTAGTGATAGGACTGGTTGTGTCCTGTGTTTTGATTTAACCAGGCTGGACAAGGCTCCCAGAAAAGTTTGGATGTTAAGATTCTCTCCTGTCCTGGCCCTGCTGAAGTCTTAAAGCGCTCCCAGGAAAGGGAGGGACAAACTGCTTTTGCACGTTAAGGGGATTGAGTGCTCTGATCTGTCAATTTTTATTTTTTAAAAATTTTTAGGTTTTAGTGGATAAGAACATTTGTTATTTTCAAATGTGTGTTTCTTGGAAACAGTGACTGACTCCTTACACCATATGCCTATATGGACATATCCATGTTCCTTTCTTTTTTATTTTACTTATTTTTTTTTGCACATATCCATTTTTCAATGCTTTAGTACTTAAAACCTCCCTCAAAGGAGATTAAGCTTTTTTTTAAATAACTATTTATTTATTTATGTTTTTTGAGACAGGGTTTCTGTGTATCCCTGGCTGTCCTGGAGTTTACTCTGTAGACCAGGCCTCCAACTAAGAGATCCTCCTGCCTCTGCCGACTAAGTGCTGGGATTAAAAGCATACGCCACCACCATCTGGTATTTTGTTTTTAATTCTACGTGGTAGGGCTATTAGGACAGTTCCTGATACTTCATAAATACCAAATGCTTGGTAAACATTAGCTGTTTGTTAGTGTGGAGATTAGGGGTGATTGCTCCATCAAGGGGAGTGGTGTGTATGCATATCTACTTAATTGTGATGCACATTTCTTTTTAAGATTTACTATCTTTTAGTTGTGTGTATGTACATGTGAGTACTGGTGCCCACAGAAACCAGAGGCATGATCAGATCCTCTGGGAACTGGAGATAAGAGTGGATATGAGCCACCAGTGGCTGGTGCTAGGAATTGAATTCAGGTTCTCTGCAAGAGCAAAACACCCTTTTTTGTTGTTACTTATTTATTTTTTTGAGACAGGGCTTCTCTGTGTAGCCCTGGCTGTCCTGGAGCTCAATTTGTAGATCAGACTGGCCTCGAACTCACAGAGATCTGCCTGCCCTCTGCCTTCAACTGCTGGGATTAAAGGCGTGTGCCACCACGACCTGGCACAAAATGCACTCTTAACCACTGAGCCATTTCTCCAGCCCTCATTCCCTTGTTTCTTCTTTTGTGTTGTTGTTTTAAAGAATGGTGGTCAGCCGGGTGGTGGTGGTGGTGCATGCCTCCCAGCACTTGGTAGGCAGAGCTCTGTGAGTTCGAGACCAGCCTGGTCTACAAGAGCTAGTTCCAGGTCAACCTCTGTGTACCCCTAGCTGTCCTCTGTAGACCAGACTGGCCCCAAACTCACAAAGATCCACTTGCCTCTGCCTCCCGAGTGTTGGGATTAAAGATATATACCATCACTGCCTGGCTGATATGTATGATTTTAAAATGGCAGGTTTCTTTTTATCCTACAGATGCTGTATATACTTATCTAGTCTCTTTCCTATTAAAGGATATTTGGTTTTTTTACAGCCCCCCCCCCCATGGATAGTGTCTCTCAGTGTATCTCCCTCATTTATTTATTTATATGTGTGGATGCATGCTTGTGTGTGTGCATATCATAGAATGTGTGTAGAGGACAGAGGACAACTTGTGGGAGTCACTCTCCTACCATGTGAGCTCTAGGGATCAAACCTTGGTCCTCATGAATCTTGGTAGCAAATATCTTTACCGACTGAGCCATCCTGTCAGCATACTTTGATGTACATATTTTATGACCACATATTTAATTGTTTTCTTTAGTCCTCAGAGTAGAAGTTCTGAGTCAGAGGGTTTGCATGGATTAAATGCTACCTGTACATACTTTCAAATTCTATCTTTTGTGTCCGGGCTAGAATGTCCATTTCCTCATATTCTTGCTAATGTGAGCATTGGTATTCTTAATGTGAGATTTTGTATCCTGGTAGCTTGATACCGCTTCCGTTTTCTAGTGAATCACGAGTTCCAAATCTCTGTCATTGGAGCGGGGGATTCTAGGTTTCATAAGCTAGGGCTAGGACTAAATGGGAGCCGGCTTTGTGGTGAAAATAAGGCTTCCTTCCATGTGTAGCTATGCTCCTTCCCAACTCTCAGTCTTCACAAGGCTTATTTATTTTATTGTGGAGTTTCTGAACTGTTGCATGAATAAATATACTAAATAGCAATCCTGAAGATACAGTAATATAAAAAACATCCATCAGAAATTAGGGGTGTGTTACGAGTAGTTTTCCCACCAGCCTGGTTCCACGGCCTTGTCAGCCCCAAATAACACACAGAGATGCTGTATTAGATATAAAGCTATTGGCCTGTTACTAGCATTTCTTATTGGCTAGCTCTGTCTTAAATATTAACCCATTTCTATCTAAGTGTTTCCACATGGTCTTATCTTACCGGAGAGAGGATTTGGAGTTCTGCTCTCTCAAGTCCCTACACGTTGAAACTCCTCCTACCTCTCCCTGAATCCTCCTTGTCTCCTAGTCCCGCCTATCTTGCTTTCCTATTGGCCAACAGGGCTTTATTCACTAACCAATACGAGAAACATATTTACAGACTGACATCTCCCGTCAGGGGTGGTAGTGCATGCCTGTAATCTCTGCGGGTGGGGGTAGGAGGAAGTGGCTTGGCTGTGGGTAGACTGAGCAACAATTTCCCGTGTCATGGCTGCAGGGCTTGGTACTTAAGAATTTCTTTACTTCTGTCTGATGAGTCCAGCTGTGTTTTCAGAACTTTGAAGGAGACTGGATAAGATGTTGTGGTCCTATATGGAGAGATCATTTGGGGACTTCTGAAGCCGGTCTCATCTCATGAACTTGTTTTCCTTCCTCAGCCCTGGCTTGAGTGGACTCTGCTGCTTCGGAGAAATAAATCAAGGAAGACTGATGAACTTCTAAACCATGGCCCCTGTAAGTTAGCTGTTCTTATCCTTTTACTGGAAACACTGTCATGTTAAGTTACTGTGAACACTTCTCTTTTTGAAAATTCTTTTTATGTGTATGATGTTTATATGTGCAACACACACACACATATACATACATACATACATACATACACCACATGAGTGCCAGAGTCCAAGGAGGCCAAAAGAAGCTGTCAGATCCTCAGGAATTGCAGTTAAAGCTATAAGCCACCATGTACGTTTTGGGAACCTAACCCAGGTTCTCTGTGAGAATAGTGAGTACTCCAATGGCCGAGCCTTCTCTCCAGACACATAGGAACATTTCTTTATTGTGACACTCACTGTCAGAGCCCCATCCAGGACCTTCCTCCAAGTTGTTTCAAATCCACTGAGGGAAGGACACAGGCATTGTCTTTCCTGTGCTCAGGGAACAAATCATTTAACATCTACAAGCTGATGAGCAAGGACAGGGCCATTTAGCTATGCACAGGAGACTCTTGATCTTTTCTAGACTTTCCTTTTCTAAGTATATAAAATTTGCTGTTGTTCCCAGGTGTAGGTAGTGCACGCCGTTAATCCCAGCGCTTGGGAGGCAGGGGCAGGTGGATCTCTGTGAGTTTGGGGCCAGCCTGGTCTACAGAGGACAGCTAGGGATACGCAGAGAAGCCCTGTCTTGAAAACCAACCAACCAACAAATAAATATGCTGTTGTTTGGCTTCAGCTAAGATGTGGTGAGATCGTGTGGATTTAGGGATGGGCAGCCATGCATCTGAAACTCGCATTCAGAGAGATTTAGGATCTTTACTAGGAAACCCTGATCGTTCAGGAGCAGTGGACATTTGCTAGGGTAATGCTAGGGTTACCACTTAAGACCTCTATTGCTCAGCTCAGCGTGGTTGCTCGACGCTGAACTCAGGTCCCCGTGCTTGTGTAGTGAGCACATTACCCACTGAGCTATTTCTCTAGTCCCCGATTGCTCTTGAAGGTAGTATCGGAGCTAGGGACAGTGACACCTTTAACACCTTTAACCCCAGCACTCAGGACGTTGAGGCGGTGGAGTGACTGCAAGTCCCAGGTGACCCAGGGTACGGAGTGAGATTCTGTCTCTAAAACAACAAAACAGCAGAACCAGTGAGGTGACCCAGTAGGTCAGAGGCCCTTGCTGCAGGGTGACACCAACCTGGGGACCTGAGATTTGACTCCAGTAACCCACAAAAGTGGAAGGCAAAAGTTGACTCCGCAAAGTTGCCTCTCATCACGTGTACACGTGCATAAACACATATTCAGGTTATTGTGTGTAGCATTCACACACGCACACACGCATGCACACAGGTTATTGTGTGTAGCATTCACACATGCACACACACATGCACACAGGTTATTGTGTGTAGCATTCATGCACACACACGCATGCACACAGGTTATTGTGTGTAGCATTCACACACGCATGCACACAGGTTATTGTGTGTAGCATTCACACACGCATGCACACAGGTTATTGTGTGTAGCATGCGGGGTCTTCCTCCTCACTTGTTATGAGCACTCCTGTTCCTCCCCTAGTCTCCTGCTCCTGACTCCCTGCCTGCAGGGTGTTCATCACATCTGTCCTAGGAGCTCTCCATTGCTGTTAAACACCATGGCCGTAAAGCAGTATGGGGAGGGAAAGGCTTATTCATTCATTCATTTATTTAATGTTACAACTTATTACCCATCATGGAGGAAGTCGGGGCAGGAACGTGGCAGGACCGTGGAGGCAGGAACGGAAGCATGTGCCATGGGGGATGCTGCTTCTGGCTTGTTCTTCCTGCCTTGCTCAGCTTCCTTCCTTCCTTCCTTCCTTCCTTCCTTCCTTCCTTCCTTCCTCCCTCCCTCCCTCCCTCCCTCCCTTCCTCCCTCCCTCCCTTCCTTCCTTTCTTTCTTTCCCTCTCTCTCTCTGTCTTTCTCTCTCCCTCGCCCCTCCCTCCCTTTCTGTCTCTCATTCCCTCTTTCTTTGTCTTTTTTTTTTTTACGTTTTGTTCTAAACATACATCTTATCATACACATTTCCAAATACAGTGTAGTGTAGTAGGCCTGTTCTGCCTGAAAGATAAAGCTTTCAATAAGCATGGTCACATTGATAAGTACAATCGAAGTTGAAATGGCCTCTAGTTTGTTTATTTATTTGTTTTTTATTTTACATGTCGATCCCAGTTCCCTCTCCCTCCCTCTTTGTTTCTATCGTTCTTTCCCTCTCTCTCTCTCCCTCACCCCACCCTTCCTCTCATTCCCTTTGTCTTTCTTCCTTTTTTTCTCTCTCTCTCTCTCTCTCTCTCTCTCTCTCCTTTCTTCTCTCCTTCCCTTTCTCCCTCTCTCTCTTTCTTTCTTGGGTTTTTCTGTGTAACAGCCCTGGCTGTCCTGCAACTCTCTCCATAGACCAGGCTGGTTTTTGAACTCACAGAGATCTGCCTTGCCCACCTCTGCCTCCTGAGCGATGGGATTAAGGGTGTGCGCCACCACCACCACCACCACCACCACCACCACCGCCACCACCGCCACCACCGCCACCACCGCCACCTGACCAGCTATCTTTCTTGTACATCAACCCAGAACCACCTGGCCAGGGGTGCACCACCCTCAGTAGGCACTCCCACACCAATCAGGAAAGTGTCCTGCAGACATTCCCACAGGTCAGAGTGATGGAGGCGATGTCTTCACTGAATTTCACTTCCCAGATGCTCAGACTTGTATTAAACTGACAAAAACCAACCCCAGCAGGCACACACTCGCTGTCCAGCTCAATCAGTTTTTTTGCTTTTCCAACATGTTTGGATTATTGAAGTATGTCAGAGTATGTAGCAGCCAAAAGTGATGGTTCATAACGAGAGAGGATGGAAGTTTGGGGAGAGGAGGGGGAGAAAAACAGCATCAGGGTCCTCCTAGAGCACGTAAGCACCTGGCTTCAGGATCCTGTTTTCCTATCTCATACCCTCCCAGCTCCAGCCTTTTTGCTATAATGGTCTACTTCTGAGCAGAGGTGGACCATGCTTTTAGCTTTTAATACCAACACTTGGGAGGCAGAGGCAGGTGGAGCTCTATGAGGCCAGTCTGGGCTACACAGTGAGTGCCCTCCATAGGGAGAATTTGTCTCAAAACAAGCAAATGCCCACTATTCTAAGTATGTCTTCCATATCTTCCCTTTGGGGTTTAAATGCTCTTTTGTTAGCTGGGCAGTGGTGGCACATGCCTCTAGTCCCAGCACAGTTGGATCTCTGTAAGTTTGAGGCCAGCCTGGTCTACAGAGTGAGTTCCAGGACAGCCAGGGAAACAGTGAAACTCTGTCTTGGAAAAAAAAAGAAGAAAACAACTACAAATAGATGTTTCATGTCTGCTGTGGTTGTGTCTGGTTTGTCCTCCAGGTGTCAGTGATGTTCAGTGATGTTTCCATAGCCTTCTCCCAGGAAGAGTGGGAGTGTCTGGACCTAGCACAGAGGGATTTGTACAAAGACGTGATGATGGAGAACTACCGAAATGTGGCCTCACTGGGTAAGCTTACCCCATTAGCGGTTTTGATTGTATTCTCTGACACCCATTCTCTCTGGAAATTTTCATGGTAACTTCCCAAGAAACCATTTGACTTTCTTTTACACTTGTTTGTTTGTTTATTGTGTATGTTGTGGGGGAGGGGCATGCACGCGCTGCAGCAGGCGTGTGGAGGTCAGAGGACAGCATGTGAAAATTGGTCCCCTCCCACTGTGTGTGCCCTGGGGATGAATAGGTTGGCAGCAAGCGCGCTTACCCCTGTACCGCCTCACCTGCCTTGCTTTCCATTAGGAGATGGTTTAAATGTTTAGTCAGGAGTGAGTACTTTCATTAAATATATTCACTGTCCCCTTGCTTAAGTGACCGTTGGGCCCTTTATAACGGCAGGACTTTTTAAAGTTTTTATTTATTTACTTGAGATCCGGTCATATTTTGTAGGCCAGGTTGGTTTGTAACTCACCACCTTCCTCCTGCCTCAGCCTCCTGAGGTGGGATTGCAGATATGAGCTACTTTAGGGGCTAGACATAAATGTAGCTTTATCAGTACCAAAGAAGACATTTCACTTTTTAAGTGTTCATTTATTTACTTTTGTGTATGCACATGGGGAGGGGGCGGCGTACGTGTGCAGTGACGCGTGGAGGTCAGAGGACAACTTGCAGGAGTGGGTTCTGTGTATGTGGGTTTTCCTGTCTTGACGACCTGTTCCTCAACCTGGTAGCTTCCAAATGACCACACAGAGACTTAATATTATTTATAAATGCTCGGCTGGTAGCTCAGGCTTGTTACTAGCTAACTCTTACACTTCAGTTAACCCCTATTTCCTATCTGTGCTTCGCCACGCAGCTCATGGCTTGTTTCCTCATTTTCTACAAGTCCTGCTTGCTCCGCGGCTGCCTGGTGTCTCTCTTCTCCCGCCTTCTTCCCATCATTCTAAGTGTGGCTTTCCCACCTAACTTCCTGCCCAGACGAGAGTAATACATATCCCCAGTACAGAAGGGTTGTCCACTGCCTTTCTTCCCTCCCACTCAGTGGGTCCTGGGCACTGCACTAAGGTCATCAGGCTGGATGGCAAATGCCTTTCCCCGCTGAGCCATCCCACCGGCCATCGCTTTATTTGTTTTATTGTTGGTATACCTATGAGGAAAACAGCTGTGCCTTGTTTCTTCGTTTTTCTCCAGCAAAAGAACTCATGTAGTTTATATAGTGGTGTGTGAAGGCACCAGAACTTATTCATCGCTCATGGTAACCCAGTTTATTACCTTTGTTAATGAACCATAAGTCTTATCAACTTTTATGGCTGAAATCTAAAACCCTAAGAATATCATAAGAAATGGTAGTGAGGCTGGACAAGTGTACATCAGGGGTGAGCACCCAGGTTCAGATGCTCAGAACCTGTGTGACACAGTGCTGCTCTTATCGTCTGTAGCCCTGGGTCTTGGGTCAGTGCAAAGAGAGGTCTCTGAAGCTCATTGGCCAGTCAGCCTAGCCAAATCAGTGACATTGAGGTTTAATGAAGGACCTTATTTCAAAAACTAAGTTGGAAGGCCAAAACAATAGAGCCGGTGGAAACATAAACCCAACAACCTGAGTTCAGTCCTGATCTTATCTGTGATCCCTCCTTTGGTGAGATGGGGGGTGGGGACAGAAGGGTCACCCAGAAGCTTGTCGCCAGCCTAGAGTATACAGCATAGCAGAGACAAGAGACCTGCCTCCTCCAGGTGGAAGGAGAGGGTTGACTCCTGGGAGTGGTGAACTGACCACACACACGCACATGCACATACACACGCACGCACATGCATATACACACGCGCGCGCACACACACGCACATGCACATACACACGCACGCGCGCGCACACACACGTGCATGCACATACACACGCGCGCGCGCACACACACGCACATGCACATACACACGCACGCGCGCGCACACACACACACACAAACACACACGCACATGCACATACACACGCGCGTGCGCGCACACACACAAACACACATGCATGCACATGTGCATACACACGCAAAAACACACATGCACACACACACATAGAATAATAATAAATAAGTTGGAGAGCACTTGAACGAAGACAGCTGATGTCAAGCTTTGGTCTCCACATATATATGCACAAACATGCACACACACCTGCACATGTGCACACCCACATCAACCGGTGCATACACCACACCACACACACATAACACAATAAATATATACAAACACCCACACAAGGGGAATGAAGAAATAGTGGTAAATGGCTCTTGGGAAACTAATTGTTTTCCTCTCAGTAAAGTAGCTACTGAAATATGCATAGTTCAGCTAGGTAGTGCTTAGATAATTCCATAAGCTAGACACTTATTATTGTTGTTGTTTGGTTTTGGTTTGGTTTTTGAGGCAGGGTTTCTCTGTGTAGCCCTGGTTATCCTGGAACTCACCCTATAGACCAGACTGGTCTTTAACTCAGAGATCCACTTGCCATTGCCTCATGAGTGCTGGGATTAAAGGTGTGTACCACCATGCCTAGCTATTATTATTATCATCATCATTATTAATTATATTAATACTTACTGTATTAACATATAACTATAATACATTAAGTACATACCCATTTATCCATTTATTAATATAACAACTACATTATAGTTATAATTATATAGTTATATATTAATTTATAATTATATAATTAATAATTCCTCTGGAGCTGAAGGTACAGGCAGATGTGAGCTGTGGGTGCTGCGACCTGAACTCAGATTCTCTGCAAGAGCAGTGTGGGCTCTTAACCGCTCAGCCATCTCTCTAGCCCCTGTAGTAGACATTTTTACTACTGCTATTTTACAGATAAAGAGAATGAAGCTTGGGAGTAGCTTGCCTGCTGCCACACAAGAGTTCTTGACCCTTCCTCTCTAGCCTGCATGTACTGGAAAACCTTAATGTGAATGTTCCTAAACCATCTTACTTTTTTTTTTTTTTTTTTTTTTGTTTTTCGAGACAGGGTTTATCTGTAGCTTTGGAACCTGTCCTGGAACTAGGCTCTTGTAGACCAGGCTGGACTCTAACTCACAGAGATCCGTCTGCCTCTGCCTCCCCAGTGCTGGAAATATAGGCTGCACCACCATCGCCCAGCTTATCTTACCTTTTTAAAGGACTTTATTAGTTGTCATGGTAACCTATATTTTGTAACAAATTTCGCTACAGTGAACCAAAGAAATTTTGAATTTACTTTTAATTTTGTCTTTACCTCATGTTTTTTTTTTTTTTTTCCTAAGTAGGATGCTTCATTTCTAAACCAGATGTGATTTCCTTACTGGAGCAAGGGAAAGAACCCTGGAAGGTTGTGAGAAAAAGAAGACGAAATCCAGGTAAGTGAGGGTCTCTCAGGCTTGAACTCACACAACCAGTTGGAAAGGAGGTGTACGTACCAGATCGGTGGACTTTGAGCCGGGCACCGTGGTAGGTGCTCTCCGTACAGTGGGGAACAGACATGGCCCATAGAATTCTCCTTGTAATTAGAGAACCCCAGTTGCTGTCAATGACTAGAAAATAGGATGGCAGGTCGTAATAGAGTGCTTTGAGCGTGAGCAGAGTGAAGAGTGATGTATGCTGGGACCTGGGAAAGCTTTGCTGTGTTTGCTCATTTCCTTTGTGGAGGAAGCTGCTCGAGGCAAGTATTCTACTTTAGAGCTCATCATCAGCCCAGGAAAGTGCTCAACCTTTCTCACAAGTTTAGTTTGTTAAAGGAGTTGTTTGCTTTTTAAAATGTGTGTGAGTGCTTCATCTGCACGTATGTGCGTGCACCATGCGCATGCCTGATGCCCAGAGAGTCCGGAGAGCACATCAGATTCTGTTTTAGCTACTGTTCCATGGCTGTGCAGACAACAGTGACCAAGGCATCCACGATCATCATGGCTGGGAGCAGACCAGCATTAGATTTGTTGGGGTAATGGAGGAAAAAAATGCCATGTTTTTTATGTTATTTTTCTCAGAGAAATAAGACCATAAGGATAATATTCTATGCAAACATAGCACTCCTTTTTTTTTTAAAATCTTTTTTGGTTCTTCAAGATAGAGTTTCCGTGGCTGTCCTGGAACTAGCTCTGTACACCAGGCTGGCCTCAAACTCACAGATATCTGCCTGCCTCTGCCTCCTGAGTGCTGGGATTAAAGGCGTGTGCCAATACTGCCTGGCTTTTTGTGTGCTTTTTAAAAGCTTTTTTACTTGGACTATAGCAGGTCTGATTGAACTTTCCATGTGTCCTATGAAAATTGATCTGTTTTACCCAGGCTTGGTGGTGCAGGCTTGTAATCCTTTTTTCCAGGTCTAGGGAGGAGGATCAGGAGTTCAAGGCCAGCCAGCAGCTACATGAGACCCTGTCTCAAAAAGCAATACCAAACAGCTGAACAAAAATTGTTCTGTTAATCATCGTATTTCCTTGGTGGTCAGTTGTATTTTCCTGGAAAAACACCCATTTTAGCTAGAAATCTTCTTTCTAATAATGCTCTATACTAATCATTTTCATTACCCCTCCCATCCAAGACAGGGTCCCTCTGTGTAACCTTTGCTGTCCTGGAACTCACTCTGTAGACCAGGCTGGTCTTAAACCCAGAGATCCACCTGCCTCTGCCTCCAGAGTTAAAGGTGTGCGCCACCACTGCTGGGCTTCTCAGTTCCTTTTTATTTATGTATTTTTGTTCCTTTGGAGACAATCTCTGTGTAGCCCTATTGCCTCAGTTTCCCAAGTCCTAGTATTATAAATTATATATGTGTTTGTTTGTGTGTGTCCCCAATATGTTGCCATTTGTTATGTCTGTGCTTGTCCTCCATTTTTGTTTGTTTTGCTTTATTTGTTTGCTTTTATTGCTGTGTATGAAACCCAGGCCTCACACCTTAGGCAAGCACCTTACCACAAAGCCGCAAAGGTACATCTCGGTCCTGTTATAGGTTGTATTTTGAGACAAGGCCTTGCTGAAGCGCCCAGCCTGGACTTCCATTTGCTGTCCTCTTGTCTCAACCTCAGGAATGCCGGGTTCTCAGGCCTGTGGACCCTCACCCACCACTGTAATTTTCTTTTTTCCCTTTTTGTCCTCTAAAAATCTTTCTTCCTATTGACCTAAAAGTTATCTAATTTCTATTTTTAAAATTTTAAATAGATTTTCTTTTTTTTTTTTTCTATTTTCATTATTTCTACCTTAGTAGAAAATACCTGTGTGATTTCAGCTTTTTACACAGAGCACAACTGTAGTAATTGTAAGGTTCATCCCCTTTCACAAGGGTCATGCACCACAGGATTTCCTCTGACTTCTCTTGGCTTGCTGTCTGCTCTGTCTGCAGGTATTTTGCTACTGCTGTGAGTTGTAATGTAAATATCTGATATTCAGGATGTCTGATGTGACACCCTTACCTAACCAAAGGGGTCGAAACCCTCATGTCGAGAACCACTGATCTATAGCAAGCTAGTTAGCAAGACGGGCCATATTGGTGAGCTCTGGCTTTGACTGAAAGACCCAGTCTCCACGAATAAGATAGATGGTAGATTGAGGATGATTCCTGACATCAACCTCAGGTCTCCACGTGCCCACCCATGTGTGTCCACACACATGCAAAACATGTATGTACATACAAGTGCATATCACACATATAAACACACATGCATGATAAATGGAAGCAAAAATTATAGTTTTACCCAGGTGGTTTTGGTTGTATTTAAACAGTATTGGGGTTTTTTGTTTTGTTTTGTTTTGTTTTGTTTTTTTGAGACAGGTTCTTACTGTGTAGCCCTGGCTGTCCTAGAACTCACTATGTGGACTAGGCTGGCCTCTGACTCACAGAGTTCCACCTCCCTCTTCTTCCCAAGTGCTGGGATTAAAGATGTTCACCACTGCACCCCGCTGTAAACAGGATTTGTAATAAGCTGCCCAGGGATCCTGACCCACACCTCAGTTCATGAACCAGTGCTGAATGTTCGCTTAACTACCACTGCCTTTTCTTATACGAGCTCTTTTATACGAGCTCTCATATTCATAGGACACTGGTTTGAGTTTGACCGAACATGACCTTCTTTGTCTTTTATTCCTACTGTAGAAAGTTTACTTCTTGAGGAAAAGAAAAGAGCATGTGTGTGCTTTCTTGCAGATTTGGGAACTAAATATCAGTCACCCTCAGAAAGCAGCATCTATGAGGTGAATTTACACCAATGGAAGATAATGGAAAGAATCGGGGACAGTGGCCTGAAGGGCCTTGTTTTAAAAAGTGAATGGGGGTCCAAAAGAAAACATGAGAGCACAGAGGGACCCCAGGAGGGACATCTCAGACAAGTGAAAACCACACCCGAGAAAGTGTCCTCCTACCAGAAGCACACATCTGCTACTCCACGTCAGAGAATCCACTTTGTGGAGAAGCCCTATGAGTGTGGCGAGTGTGGGAAGGCGTTTAGAGTCCGCCAGCAGCTTACTTTCCATCACAGAATTCATACTGGTGAGAAACCCTATGAATGTAAGGAGTGTGGGGTGGCTTTCAGGCAGACTGCACACCTTACCAGGCATCAGAGACTTCATTCTGGTAAAAAACTGTACGAATGTAAGGAGTGTGGGGAAGCGTTCATATATGGCCCAGACCTTAGAGCACATCAAAAGATCCACTCCGGTGAGAAGCCCTACGCGTGTAAAGAGTGCGGGAAGGCCTTCAGGGTGCGGGGACAGCTCAGTCTCCACCAGAGGATCCACACGGGGGAGAAGCCCTATGTGTGTGAGGAGTGCGGGAAGGCCTTCAGGCAGTACGCGCACCTTACCCGGCATCAGAAGCTTAATATCGCTGACAGACTCTATGAGTGTAAGAAGTGCGGGAAAGGCTTTTTGTGTGGCTCTGGCCTTAGAGCTCATTACAAACTCCATACAGTCGAGAAGCCCTATGCGTGCGAGGACTGTGGGAAGGCCTTTAGGGTTCGACAGCAACTGACACTACATCAGAGGATTCACACTGGCGAGAAGCCCTATGCATGCAACGAATGTGGGAAGACCTTTAGTCGGGGTTACCATCTTATCCTCCATTACAGAGTCCATACGGGTGAAAAGCCCTATGTGTGTAAGGAATGCTGGAAGGCCTTCAGCCGATACTCACAACTCATCTCCCATCAGAGTGTTCATATCGGTGTGAAACCCTACGACTGTAAAGAATGTGGGAAGGCCTTCAGACTCCTCTCCCAGCTCACCCAGCATCAGAGCATTCACGCTGGCGAGAAGCCCTACACGTGCAACGAATGTGGGAAGTCTTTTAGGCTGCGGCAGAAACTTACCCTGCACCAGAGCATTCATACTGGCGAGAAGCCCTTTGAGTGTAAGGAATGTCGGAAGACCTTTCGACTTAACTCTTCTCTTATCCAACATCTGAGAATCCACTCTGGTGAGAAACCCTATGAGTGTAAAGAGTGTAAGAAGGCCTTCAGGCAACACTCCCACCTCACCTACCACCTGAAGATTCATAGCGCCAAAGTATAGCCAAGTCGGAGCGGTCTTATGGAACGCTCTGTGAATGGTACGGCTTGTTTCTTTCGCTCAGACACGTAACTGACCTGGCTTCAGAGGTTTTATCCCATTAAAGGAATGTGTTAATTTAATGTGTTCCGTTGTATTCCAGTCTGTTCCCAGCCGTAATGCTTCAACATACTTATTCTACAGTTAGTCCTACACATAAAACAAACACGGAGGGGGGGGGGGGATAACGCCTCAATTCCATTACTTAGTTAAAATACTCAGTTGCTCTGGGCTATAGGATTTTCATTTGTGAAGTAGTGATCTCACACTGGCAAAAATGGCCTCAAAGTCTTCAAAACTCCAAGTTCTGCAATCCTCATCCCTTCCTTGGAATACGGGCAGATGCCAGTTTGTCCAGGAGAACAGAGTAGAAGTGTGTCTATCGCTGTTGGGGTTCAGGCTTTGCTGCAACCCAGAATATTCTCTCAAGCCCTGAGCTGTCATATTTGAAAGTCTGGCTGAAGAGACCTATGTGAAGAGCCCTGAGACAATACAGACAGGCAGAGACCTTTGCTGAACCATATGGTACCAGACATTGGATAGGAATAGTTGTGGATCTTCCAGACCAGCCACCAACTGAATGCCACCAAGTGGCCTCAGTTGACACCGTGCAGAAGAATCAACCGGCCACATAATCATAAACTAGTACATTGGTCATTATGTAAAGCGACTACATTTGTTGTAGTGACTATTACTCTTTTGATAATTCATACAGAAGTACAGGTGTGATGAACATATAAATGCCTTCCAACATTTATTCCTCCTTGAACGTAGATATCTGATTCTCATTATGGTTTGGTTTTATGCAGTCTTACTGTGTAACTTAGAGTAGCTCAGACCTTGAACTCCAAGTCCTCCTACCTCACAGTCTCCTGAACTCAGGAATTACAGGTGTGTATAATCTCCCTCCCTCCCTCCCTCTCTCTCTCTCTCTCTCTCTCTCTCTCTCTCTCTCTCTCTCTCTCTGTGTGTGTGTTTTGTGATGGTGTGGTACTGAGAATTGAACCCAGGGCCTCTCACTGAATATTTCCCTTGAATATGAATATCTACTCAGTAGAATATTCAGAGTGTGAAATTCAATTTGCTAGTAGTAAAAAGGTATATTCTGTAGTCCTAGTCTATATTTAATAAAGACAAAATAAAAAGAAACTTAATGCTCTATAATATAATTCCTTATTTTTTAATTATTTTTTAAATTTATTTTCTTATTTTACATATTGATCCCAGTTCCCTGTTCCTCCCTCTCTCCCATGTTCCCCTACCCACTCCACAGGGAGGGTGAGGCCTTCCAGGAGGGGGTCATCAAAATCTGTCAAGTCATTTGGGGTAGGGTCTAGGCCCTCCCTCCTGTCTCTAGGTTAAGGGAGTATCCCTCCATGGGGAATGTGTTCTCAACGTCCTTTCATGCACCAGGGGTACATCCTGGTTCCACTGTCAGAGGTCTCTTAGACTGCCCAGGCCTTCTAACTGAGACCTATGTTGAGGGGTTTTGGGTTGGTCCTATGCTGCTTTCCCAACTATCAGACTGGGGGTCCATGAAGTTCCCCTTGCTCAGGTCAGCTGTCTCTGTGGGATTCTGTAGCCTGGTCTTGACCCCTTTTCTTATCACTCCTCCCTGTGTAACTGGATTCCAGGAGTTCGGCTCAGTGTTTAGCTATGGGTGCTCTGTTTCCAACAACTACTACATGAAGGTTCTAGGATGGCATACAAGTTAGTCATCAATCTTATTATCAGGGAAGGGCATTTAAGGTAGCCTCTCAACTGTTGCTCAGATTGTTAGTTGGGATCATCCTTGTAGGTCTCTGGACATTTCTCTAGAGTCAGTTTTCTCTTCAAACCTATAATGGCTCCCTCTATTATGGTATCTCTTTTTTGTTTTGCTCTTATTTGTCCTGGTCCCACATATTCTCCTCTCCTCCCCTTCTCTTTTTCCTAACTCCCTCTCCACTTACTATCCCCACAACCACTCCCAGTATGCTCAGGATATCTTGTTCCTTTCCCCTTCTGTGAGGGACCTTGTATAAATCTCTTAGATTCCTCCTTGTAAACTAGTTTCTCTGGTGGTGTGAATTGTAGGCTGGTGATCCTTTGCTCTATGTCTAAAATCCATATATGAGTGAGTACATACATACCATGTTCCTCTTTTTGTGACTGAGTTACCTCACTCAGGATGGTTTCTTCAAGTTCCATCCATTTGCCTGCGAATTTCAAGATTCCATTGTTTTTTTTTTTCTGTAGAGAGTATTCCATTGTGTAAATGTACCACATCTTCTTTATCCATTCTTCAGGTGAGGGACATCTGGGTTGCTTCCAGGTTCTTGCTATTACAAATAATGTTGCTATGAACATAGTTGAATAGATGTCTTTGTTGTGTGGATGTGTCCCGACCTGTGGGGCAGTCAATGTCAAACCGGGGATCTCCTAGAAGAAAATGGGGGACAAGGGACACAAAGAATGGATAGCAAGACAATATTCTTTTGTTTTTAAAAGACAGGGTCTCTCTGTATTGTTTAGGATCCTGTCCTGGCACTCACTCACTCTGTAGACCAGGCTGGCCTCGAACTGACAGAGATCCACCTGCCTCTGCCTCCCGAGTGCTGGGATTAAAGGTATGCATCACCAACGCCTAGCAGCAAAACAATATTCTGATTAAGCTGACAAATTTTATTTTCTCAGAGGAGGCTTATATAGGACTGTGGGCAGGATGTGAGCAGGGTTTCCACGTAGCCAGAGAGTGAGCACTGGCTCGTAGGCAGAGTGAGAAGGTCGGTAGAAGGAACACCCTAAGTTGTTTAGCTAACCTGTGATTGGCTGTAAATTGCTGCAGGAGAGATAGCCCTGAGCTATTCTTTAGCAGGTTGTGAAACCACAAGCCTGTATCTTGGAATGTTCTGCTGAACATTCTGTTTATTTCCTAAGAGGCAGTCATTTTCTATCTCAGAGACCTGAGGTTGTGAGGATGGTGATGGTCTCCAACATGAATGTAGACCATTTGGGTATATACCTAAGAGTGGAATTGCCGGGTCCTGTGGTAGACTGATTCCCATTTTCCTGAGGAACCGCCATACTGATCTCCAAAATGGCTGGACAAGTTTGCACACTCACCAGCAATGGAGGAGTGTTCCCCTTTCTCCATATCCATCCTCTCCAGCATAAGCTGCCATTGGTGTTTCTAATTTTAGCCATTCTGGCAGGAGTAAGATGGTATCTCAGAGTTGTTTTGATTTGCATTTCCCTGATGGCTAAGGATGTTTAACACTTAAGTGTCTTTCAGCTATTGTGGATTCCTCTATTGAGAATTCTCTATTCAGTTCTGTACCCCACTTTTTAATAGGATTATTTGGTATTTTGATGACTAGTTTCTTGAGTTCTTTGTATATTTTGGAGATCAGCCCTCTGTCAGATGTGGGGTTGGTGAAGATCTTTTCCCGGTATGTGGGCTGCCGTTTGGTCTTGTTGACTATGCCCTTTGCCTGACAGAAACTTCTCAGTTTCAGGAGGTCCCATTTATTAATTGTCAATCTCAGTGTCTGTGCTACTGGTGTTATGTTCAGGAAGCTGTCTCCTATACCAGTTTGTTCAAGGGTACCTCCCACTTTCTCTTCTAAGAGGTTCAGTGTGACTGGATTTATGTTGAGGTCTTTGATCCATTTGGACTTGAGTTTTGTGCATGGTGATAGACATGGGTCTATCTATCTGCAGTCTTCTACACATCATCATCCAGTTGTGCCAGCACCATTTGATGAAGATGATTTCTTTTTTCCATTGTATATTTTTAGCTGCTTTGTCAAAAATCAGGTGTTCATAGGTGTGTGGGTTAATATCAGGATTTTCAATTATATTCCATTGGTCTACCTGTCTATTTTTGTGCCAATACCAAGCTGTTTTCAGGACTATAGCTGTATAGTAGAGCTTGAAGTCAGGGATGGTGATACCTCCTGAAGTTCCTTTATTGTACAGGGTTGTTTTGGCTATCCTGTTTTTCCATATAAAGTTGAGTATTATTCTTTCAAGGTCTGTGAAGAATTGTTCTGGGATTTTGGTGGGGATTGCATTGAATCTGTAGATTGCTTTTGGCAAGATTGCCATTTTTTACTATGTTGGTCCTGTCTATCCATGAGCACTGAAGATCTTTCCATTTTCTGGTATCTTTTTTAATTTCTTTCTCGAGAGACTCAAAGATCTTGCTATACAGGTCTTTCACTTGTTTGGTTAGTGTTACGTTTCTTTTACGGATGTATTTGGGGCATAAATGTTCAGATGACTATGAAATGATCTTCTTCATCTCTTTTGATTGAGTTTTGGTTTAAAGTCTAACTTGTTAGATATTAGGATAACTACACTTGTTTGCTTCTTGGGTCCATTTGATTGGAAGATCTTTTCCCAACCCTTTATCCTGAGGTAATGTCTGTCTTTGAAGCTTAGATGTATTTCTTGTATGCAGCAGAAGGATGGATTCTGTCTTTGTATCCATTCTGTTAGCATGTGTCTTTTTATAGGCGAGTTAAGACCATTAATATTGAGGGAAAGTAAGGACCATTGACTGTTAATTCTTGTTTGTTTTAGATTTGTTGTTGTTGGTGGTATCGTGAGTATATTTGCCCTGCTTTTTCTTTTGTGTTCTGGTAAAGTGGGATTATTATTGCCTGTGTCTTTGTGAGTGTAGTTAACTTTTTTGGGTTGGAGTTTTCCTTCCAGAACCTTCTGTAGTGCTGGATTTGTGGATATGTATTGTGAAAATCTGGCTTTGTCATTGAACATCTTCTTTTCTCTATAGTGATGAGAGTTTTGCTGCATATAGTAGCCTGGGCTGGCATCCGTGGACTCATGGTATTTGTAGAACATCTATTCAGGACCTTTTGGCCTTGAGAGTTTCCATGGAGAAGTCAGGTGTAATTTTGATAGGTCTGCCTTTATATATTACTTGGCATTTTTCCCTTCGCTGTTCTTATTTCTTTATTCTCCGTGTTAGGTGTTTTGATTATTATGTGGTGAGGGGACTTTTCTTTTGGTCCAGTCTATTTGGTGTTGGGTATGCTTTTTGTACTTTCAAAGGCACGTCCTTCTTCAGATTGGGAAAG